CCTAACTCTTCTTCTTCGTTTTTCAAGAGAAAACAATTTGAGAAATTTCAGCCTCTTCTCATATGACAAACCCTCCATCCCAGGCACCATTCTAGTAACCGTTCTCTGAACCCTTTTCAACAATTCAATGTCTTTCCTAAGGTAAGGAGCCCAAGACTGAACACAATATTCCAAATGTGGCCTAACTAGTGACTTGTACAATGAAAGTACAACCTCTTTAGACTTGTATTCAATATTTCTGTAGATAACCTAAAATCCTATTTGCTCTACCACTAGCAACAGCACACTGCTTGGATGGCTTTAGAAACTGATCGACTATTACACTAAGATCCCTTTCCTTCATAACAATATTAAGGTTATTCCCATCCAAATTATACTTATAATTCAAATTATGATAACCCACATCCATTATTTTGCATTTATTATAATTAAAACCCATCTGCCATTTATTTACCCAACTCACTAAATGATCTAAATCCTTTTGTAAATCAGCAGCATCCTGTTCACAGTTAGCAACACCCAAGACCTTAAAATCATCTGCAAATTTAAGTAATTTATTGACCATTCCTTCATCTATGTTATTAATGTAAATCAAAAAGAACAAAGGTCCTAAGACTGAGCCTTGAGGTACCCCACTTGTGACACTAATCCAGTTTGACTGAACTCCATTTGTAACAACCCTCTTCTTTCCTCCATCCAGTCACTCTTCTATCCAATTTGCTAACTTATCCCTCACACCTATAGAGCTAAGTTTTTTTACAAGCTTTTTATGTGACACCTTGTCAAATGTTTTCTGAAAATCCAGATACACCAAATCTACACCCTTACCATCATCTACATAAGCAGTAACCTTTTCAAAGAATGTTAAAAAATTTTAAGGCAAGATTTTCCCTTATTGAAACCATGTTGACTATACAATAAAATTCTAAACTTTGTTAAATGATTTTGCAGAGCATCTTTTAACAGACTTTCCAAAACTTTCGCACAACTGATGTAAGACTAATGGGTTTATAATTACTGGGACAATTTTTATTACTTCCCTTGAAAAGATGAGTTAATTAGCTAACTTCTAATCCTCTGGTACCTGCCCACTATTCAAGGACTGAAAAAAATAGTAGTATGTGGCTCACATATCTAATCTTTAATCTCCTTCAAAACCCTTGGAGAAATATTATCTGGCCTAGGAGCCTTATTGAATTGATGCAGTCATCTTGTTTAATCTCTTTACCATTTGTCAACTGTTCAAGATGTGGAATACTGCTTAAATCTTCATTAGTAAAAGCCCTATCCTAACATTTTGTTTATTCTTAATCTATTTAAAGAAATCCATACTGTTAATTTTTACATTTTCAGCAACCTTTTCTCATACATTCTTTTTGATATCCTAATTTCCTCTTTCACCAACTTTCTTGATCTTCTACAATCTTCTAAATCTCCTGTCATACCAGTCAATTTAAATTTCTTAAATTTATTATGCTTTTCTTTAATTTTATCACTTATACTGTGTGTGAGCCAACCTGGTTATTTTTGTTGCAGCTACCCTTTTCTTTCTATGAGGAATATGTTTACCTTGAATATTTAAAAATTTATCTTTAAAACTTTTCCACATCTGATCAGTGTCTCCAAATAACTCAGCTTCCCAATTCACAACAGACAATTCTTGTTGCATCCCCTCAAAATTTTCTTTTTTGAAATTTGTAACCAAAATATCATTATTCCTTATCTCCATATGCAGCAAAACATCAAACCTAATAGAACAATGATCACTTGCAACCAGATGTTCCCAATTTCCACCTTCTCGATCATTTCTGTATTTGAAATTAACAATAAGTCTAAAATAGCCATCCTGAACAGTTTCCAAAAACCTTTCTCCCTCAAGGTTTGACTCTTCACTAACAGCTGAAATCTTAATCTCATTGTAAAGTTCCACACTAATTTTATCAGTATCATTTGGTGATCTGTAAGAAATTCCCAGTAAACGTCTTTT